CCTTATCCCTTGGGCCTCAACCTCGGGCAGCACCAACCGAAGCCAGCTTCTTCATACCTCTACACCATCTCACGATCTGACCGCCGCGAGGCTTCTTCTAGCCTTGCCCGGCAGAGAGCACTGAAAGGTAGTCGACGAGCAGGCATACACAAAGCGTGACCAAGCCATCGGAGGCGATGTATAGCGATTACTTCTGTTAGGGAAAAACTATCCACACCCAACAGAGTGAAAAGGTGGTCGACCGGACACAGTGAATAACAAGATACCACATGCTTTAATCCTGAGCGCTGAGTTAACACCTACTCGCACGAGTTTTGTCCCAAAATGAGCATTCCAAATTTACAATGCATTGATATTGATCCGATCATATATAAGAGGGATGGGCGAAGCCGAAAAAATTGCAGCACTTCAGAGGCACTCACCTTGTCATACATTAAACGCTGTTGAGCACAACGAAACTGATAGACTTCCATTGGACTAGCCAGACCTTCCAACGAAGGTTCCGTTCTCGAAGTCCAGAATTGATGAGCACGCTCAGCTGGATGCATTTTAGCCAATTTTGCCGGTGAACTGACCGGTGTGGTGTTGCGGGGATAGATCTGCACCGGGGAAACCAAGCCCTCTTCTCGGGCACGCATCTCAGCCCATTTCTCAAACGTCACATTGTGATAAGACGGGCATCCACACAAGGTAACGTGGGAAAGATCGATACCATTCACGTGACCAGTTCCGTTGCAACCCACAAGTGGACAGGACAGAGGAATGCGTTGAGGAACACAGGCATTCTGCGCGAGGTCTAAAGATGGAAATGAGTCACAGTACAGAACAACGACTTACGTTTGCGTTTCCGAGCCCAGGAAATAATTCGTTGATTGGAAGTGACTGCTTTACGTCTTTTCCGAAGCTTTGAACCCCCAGTAAGCTTCCCCATCTGAAACAAATAGATTGATGGTTTTTTCCTGTTACATTCATTAAACTAGACTATTATTACCATTGTAAATGTTATAGTGTACATTGTGCCATTGCTGGCATTAATGGTTCTCAAAAGTCCCAACCATTCAGAAGAATGGCGAAGTCGCATTCTCGTTATCAAGAAATACAGTCATGAAGTGGGTTTCACAAAACATCTGCTGGGGAACTGCTAAACATGACCTTCACATGGTGAGGGTACCCTCACTAAAAATAAAACACCGAAAAGAAAATATCCGTGCAACTAACTCAACAAGGAAAGCTTTTTAGAGACCAAAAATCATAGATATCCGAACGGCCTTCGACTCTGTCGATAGGACCGCACTATGGAACTGGTTATTGAGGAATGGAGTACCAGAGAAGTGTGTCGATCCCCAAAGAGCTGCTCTATATCCCATTATTGTTCAACTTTTCCATAGAGGATGTTCTACAAAATTCTTCGTTCGGTATAGCAAACGGTCAAAGATCAAGGAGTCGAACTCCTCCCAGGGAACAGAATTCGTGCCTTAGAATATGTCAATGACATTGTCTTATTGGGTGACAATACATAGGCAGTCCAACACGTTTTAACCCACTTGGCGACTGAGGTATCCAGGTTTGGAGGGTGTTTTGTATCACCAGAGCTCAAAGTTCTTGTACAAGGCTGGCAGGAGTCTGCGCCTATACTCACGCTTTGTAGTATCCACTTAGAAGCAGCCGAGAACTTGATTGCAGGTAGAGGTGATGTTAATGAGATCACATCACGAATAGCGAAAGCTAGAGCAGCTTTTACCAACATGCAACATCTGTGGCGGCGCATTGCTATCCAACCGCCTTATACGGGAAGGGCATACATCGCCGTGATTCGTAGTGTTCTGCTTTACGGTTGCGAGACCTGGCCTCTCAGAGACGGCGATGCTAACTAACTTTCTGTATTCGACCACCAATAGCCTCAAAGCATCGCTCGTGTCCGGTGGGAAGTTCATGTAAACAATGACGAAATTCGTTGTGGTGCATTGTGTACTGAGAGTCGTTCTCTACAAAAAATTAATTACTCTACACCGATGGTTTGGCTACGTTTTACCTCTCGTTAACCTTTCCGTCCTCTATTTTCACATGGTAGGGAACGGAGGAAAACGTCGCGGCGATCGGAGCATAACACAGCGGTATGAATAAACTACCTTTAGCTTTGGCTATGGTTGGTGCACCTCGCCTCCCAAGATGGGGCCCGATAGATAAGGATTGCCGAAAGCTAGAGACCAAGAGAGATATGACGCAGAATAAAAGTCAGTTACGTGATTGTTTACCAGTTTGTCAGCCGAAAATTTTATTTCAATATTATTTTTTATTTATTATTATTTATTTCAATATTTCAAAATACTCATAGTCGAAGCCGAGCCCGAACTTACGCACGTTTCCACCCGAGTTCACCACTGAAAGTGTTCGTCAGGGTTGACCTCTCTCTCCTTTTCTATTTAACTTTGCTGTAGATTTGATTATGGAAACAACCCTATCCTCTTGTGAGGATAGTGGCATCGATTACTCCCAAGTGGCAGGCTGTCTGATCTAGAATATGCAGACGATATTGTGCTGCTATGTAAAGATTTAGGTAATTTACAAGCTTTTCTGGATAGTTTGAGTGCTAGTGTGTCCATGTTCGGTATGCGTTTTGCAAAATGCTACCACAAGATTGGGTTGGTCCAGGACCCAGTTTAACTCTAACTGGGGAAGTAGACAAATTTTTCTACCTGGGCAGCTATACCTCACCTGGCGGACGCATCACAGATGAAGTGTTGGCCCGGATACAAAAGGCTACTCGCCCTAGATTTCAAAGTTTTCTGATAAAATTCACTCACTGGTATATAATCAAATATTTCCGATAACTCCCAATGTAAAGGAACGCTTCGAAAGTAGTAGGAGAAGAATCTCACAACCCATGGTTGTGATTTCAACTTCATGGTCGGAGGCATTTTTCTTGCAACGGCTTCAACCGATCAGGATCCGGTTGGATGTTGCCTTTCGCTATCTGAAAACCAAGCAGCTTGATTTCTTTCACGACTATAATGCTTTTGCTATCGTTAAGAACAAAACCACATTTTTGGCAGCGTTGAGGAAATCCATGAGGTTACGATCATGCTCGATAACCCTCCTGAATTACGAAACGCCATTGATATCTCTGAAGGGAATACGACGAAACTGTTATAAGTGTTTATATGCCTCAAAAGCAGTAAACGTTTTTTCTTCTTCCCGAATAGTGATTTGATAGTATGCAATTTTGGAATCTAGTGCTGAAATGCTGTATTTAGCTATGTTCTGTATGATGTCGTCGATTCTGGGGAGTGGATATGCATCCAAGCCGGTGAACTTATTGATTATTGGGTTACATTTTACCACCAGCACTTGAGCGCACCACGGCAAGTTGCAAGCTTCAATGATACCGTCAGACAGGAATCGATTTATTTCTTCGCGTATGAACATCTTGTTTTACCTGTTGTATCGTCGGTATTTTTTCAGTGACAGGCTTGCAGTGTACAGAGAGATGCTGAAAGTGTCAGAGACACTATGGAAGTAGGTCTGAGTGAGCAGACTGTAAACGGAGTCTTCCCTCCGCCAAATGATATACGAACGCTTCTATGAAGGCTGAGGATGCCATTTTCGAAGCGAACATCTGAACATAGGTAACTCAGTATAGATAGTTTGAAAAGTTCACAGACAGTTTTTGTAGTTGATAAAAATAAAGCAGTGGCTCCTTGTGCTGCCGGATAGGGAACCCGACGCCATTGTGATGGTTTCTGTGGATGGGAGTATCTTCCAATTATTGATGAGTATTAAGCACTCAGAAACACAGCTCTCGATGTCGATCAGAGCACCACAAGACTCTATTGACCTCCAGATCCACGACAGATTTTAGAGGCATGATTTTTTATTGCACACTATGTGAGTCACAGGAAAAGGGGAAATCCATATCGACAAATAGCATACTGTACAACGGAGAGTAGGGAGACAT